ACCGGAACGTTCGTGGTTCCACCCAGACCACTGCATCTCGACTTCTCCTGTCTAGGTTTGGGCAACCTGACAGTATCCCAGCCCTCGTACTTCCTTCCGATGGCAGATAGGTACCGAAAATGTGTAACAGCTAGACGACCACCTTTTTATTTATCTTCATGATGGAAATCGTAACCCAAGCCGAGAGACCATGCTTCCTAAATGTCAATCGGCATCCCGAGTAAGTAGGATGGAATTGTGTCCCCGTAGTCTGAAAACCATCGCATAAAATCCAAAAAATCTACCGATCAGCATCCTAAATTTCGTTCGATCGAAGCACGTTAGCAAAGCTTTAGACTAAAGGCTTCTGTGTGGACCTGAAACAGGACTGGTAGGTGCCAAGATGTTGAGCAGTTTTCCACATTCTCTTCTCCCACGCAAAGGTTATGGCCCACCAAAATGCACGGCCTTCATTGTCTACAATACCGGTCTGTAAGTGTCTCTACAGCCTCCACAGAGTACCTTTGTGTTACTGTACCTTATCATTAATTGTATTGAACCAACGCTCAGCATTACTCCTCTTGTAAACTCACTATCTATACACAATTGTTGCCCGTACTCGAATGACCAGTGGCTTATGATTTCGACTTTTGATGGGCACTCCACTGTCACAGGGACTTGCGACGCCCATTCCAGATGTGGCCGCGAGCTCATCCAATGTTTTGTGACACCGACCGACAAATACGGTGTTTAGAAACATCGTACAGTGTGTTGTTCGAAGCCCGACCTGAGACTACATTATTTTACCAAGAAGGTATTCGAGCTAAATAACGTTTGCCAGGATGAAATCCTCATCACTAAACCGTGCGGCCTGCCGTCTATGTTCCTTACATGCATCCCCTAAGTCGTTTTAGCAAACCCCAAGGTAGCTAAAGGCGTTAACTCCAACAACTCATGTAATCTCAGTACTCTGTGGGCTATTTTCTGTTGACGGGGGCCACTAGCGAACGCACATTGCTCATGCTGTCCCGAGGGAACGATGAGACTTGTCATTCTAGGGCAACGGACCGACTTAGGCATCAAGGTACACGACAGCCGCATGATTCACCGCATGCTATCGATAAGATCGCAATCCAACTTAATGAACAGCAGTAGCAGTCTTCACTGTGGAGAATACGAAGAGACCATCTGAGTTTATTAGTGCACAGGTGGCGATAGTCATAATACAAATCAGAAGGTGAATGTGCACTAATAGAAGTTTTTGTATGGTTGCGACACGTATGAAAATAAATACAGTGCGAGGATGGGAGCAAGTCAAAATGGGAACTTATCGGATGCGAGAATCCCTTGGTGGAAGTCCGGACGGCGGGAGCGTGTTTTTCTCCGCAGTTCGACTGCTACACGTACTCCATGGTTGCCCGTGGGCTTGTGGAGAGGTTGACGTCCTGCTCCCTGCGCGCGCGCGAGTCTGTGTGTCTTGACTGGGTTCGGTTTGCCTTTATGTAGGTCGCAGTGGGTGTATGTGGTCGCGTCGGCACATGAGTGGTTGCTGCGCTGACTAGGCGGTGCAGACAATCGATGTCCGATGTGTCAGCTTAATGCGACGTGTTTGTGCGTACGAGAAAAAGACAAGCCTCGCGATCCAGTGGGCGATTGAATTGAACAGTCATGTATGTGTGTGACTGGGTCGCTACAAGTTCAAAATCCACTAGGGCATCGTCCAGTTTCACAAAGTCTGAGGGCTATGCTGCTTCGGACTGATGCAGCGTAAAATTTTGTCACACATGGAACGGCTATAACACCACCGAATACTAATAGCTGCTTGGAACTTATGATTTACAGGAATGCAGAGTTTGTCATTTTCGACCGCACAATTGTTCTTGTTTTAGTGGCATGATTCAAGGAATTGCCGAAATCGGCGACCTAAGTAACTGTAATGCTACTACCAATTTGCACTGACAGCAAAAAAGCAACGAGCCTTAGTTTCTTGAGTTTTCGCATTTTGAGAACAGTAGATGAAACAATACAGTGAAGAGCGCCGCAAACACCTAACCGAGTCAGTATATACATTTCCAGAGTTGTAAAAACCGAAAAGAAATCTCGGCAAATATCTCACTGAAAAGACAATGAGGTGTTGGTCACAAAAGAACCAGTTCCTAGCTAGACATGGCTCATGTGAGGCGCCAGCCAACGGACCAGAAGGTTCGCGATTCAAACCGAACCTCAGCATCTCGACTGCTCCTGTCTATGCTTCGGCAATCTGGCAGTGTCCCAGCCCTCGTGCCTTTTGCGTTGGCACCGCAGCTATTCACCGAGACATTGATACAGCTGGACGATTATTGTTAGTTCCTGGAACACGTACATCAGCAGAGCCTGCGGTCTGACACATTTAGAACAATGGAACCTTTGAAATATGAACACAAGCTATCCGGTCCACAAAAGTTCAGTCTGTCTTCCATATTTGGGGGAAAAAGGAGCCAAACGGTGTTCTATGGAAATAAAAACTTCTTGGAGTTTAGATTTGCGGTGTCTGCGCTTTGTTTCAGCCTCAGCTCTTTCCTCATAAACAGGTCGTAACTAAAAGGCGGGTTTCGATCCCCTAACACCATCTCTTACGTGTAATTGTTCACACACTCGAGTCGAGCATCGTACATTAGACTTACAAAGTTTTTGGTTGAGACAGTAAGCATCGTCTTCCTTTGCTGACCCACGGAACCTGGAGAACCTCAATTGGCATCCCCGTACACCTGAAACTCCTCACACAGATCGAGACTCACCTCATCCACAGGGTGCCTGCCAATCGATCAAACTATAAGAATATATCTGTTGTCTACACCCACATAAATCGCAATCGGCCTAAGCGCTCATGTTCTCTGCATCTAGAGGAAACTCGTGCGAGCAATCCTCAAATTGAGCAGGCCTACAGTCAGCCCCTCGATCCGAAATGTTCCTGACAGTGACCGATTGCTTCCGGTGATCGACAGCGTCCGGAACAATTTTTAGGTTAAGAATTACTACTGTTGTTCGTTAGGAGGAATGTTACCGCTGATGGAGTACTTACATTAAGGTACAGTCAATGCATTCCCGGTCTGAATGAGACCAGGTCAATGCTTACATCTTTCCAGCAGCAGTTGAGGGAGCAGTATGAGAATCCCCGAAAGAACTCTGACGCTAGGTTCAACAGACTGACGCCAGTGTTTTGGCCAGTGTCCTCGCGTCCCCATCTTCGAAGCCAAGCATTCAAACGGCAGTTTTCATTCCCAACAGACTGCTGTCGGACAAGTTACCAATGTAGCTATCCAAGGTAGAAGGGCTGACCGACATAACCCAGTTGCAACTGTATCTACGCTATTGCCTTCGTTGCACAGCTCCAAACAGCAAAAACAGAGTAAAGCGTCAGGTCTCATTTAAACTTCAGTGATTCAGCTTGTCACTTCCGACAGGTACTCCTGTCCTCCTGATCAAGTCATTGTCGGTTCATAAAACCATGTCGGGCGAACGGTTGCAAGGCTCAAACACAGGTTATGGTGGATGGTTCAACAGGTTTTGGACGAATCCTATGATGACGGCGATCAGTATTCGCACAATGGAATTGAATTTTCGAAAGCTAGTGTCCCTGAAGCAGTTGAGGGAGCAGTATGAGAATCCCCGAAAGAACTCTGACGCTAGGTTCAACAGACTGACGCCAGTGTTTTGGCCAGTGTCCTCGCGTCCCCATCTTCGAAGCCAAGCATTCAAACGGCAGTTTTCATTCCCAACAGACTGCTGTCGGACAAGTTACCAATGTAGCTATCCAAGGTAGAAGGGCTGACCGACATAACCCAGTTGCAACTGTATCTACGCTATTGCCTTCGTTGCACAGCTCCAAACAGCAAAAACAGAGTAAAGCGTCAGGTCTCATTTAAACTTCAGTGATTCAGCTTGTCACTTCCGACAGGTACTCCTGTCCTCCTGATCAAGTCATTGTCGGTTCATAAAACCATGTCGGGCGAACGGTTGCAAGGCTCAAACACAGGTTATGGTGGATGGTTCAACAGGTTTTGGACGAATCCTATGATGACGGCGATCAGTATTCGCACAATGGAATTGAATTTTCGAAAGCTACGATGTGTCCCTGATGAACTAAAACACACAGTCCAAACTTTTGAGCCCCATCTAGACATTCCGGGGTCCCACAGGAATTTCTCCGCCAGAGGTATGACTGCTTCAGTGGGTAATGAAAGTTTGTGAGCTGCAAATACTCAACACAATGCAACATTTTGGCGTAAAGCGTTTTATTCTACTCGCAAATGTTTTGCAGCTAAGAGCATTGAGCGGCCAAAGAGCCCCAATGATGACCTTCTCCAAACCATCTAATCTTAACATGCGGATCGTTGTTGAGCAGCAAACTTCGCACCAGGCCCCCCGGGTGGATTCGACTCCACACCATACAGCCCGGGTGACATTGCAGTGAATCAGTGCAGCTCAAATCTGACCAAGATTCGGTACCCGAAATATTGCCTCTTGCTTATTCTAACTGGCAATTTTTCCTCCCGACAAGCTTACCCGTTTAAACATGTATACGGAAAACTAGCCTGATTGCTGGAGTTCTGCTTACATAACCCCTATTGTTAAAAGGCTTCCTTAAATTTTGCTAACCAATACTTAATTGAGCCTCTTGAATTGATAGTGTTGTAAACATTAGACAACAGTGCACTCCGAAGAAGACTTCTCGCGAACCAAGCCGGAAGTTTGTGAAGCTCACTGTGAATTGAAATCCGTTGAATGTTAACGCATACCTCGCTAACCGATGGGCTATATTGGCAGAACCAGCTGTTCATGCTGAGATCCTAGTCAGACTGAACCTAGTGAAGTTGACTTTCGGGGCATTGGATGTTCCCCTCTTTGCTTTATCCTTTTCAACTGAACTAATACGGTCATACGATGCGGGAGCGGAGTATAACGGTAATTTTGTTGTTCATATGATAATGATAGTCAGGATGGATTATCAATGCAATGATGGGTTACAAGATACTCTCCGAACAAGCCATAACTTTCGATATTATTTGAGTAACGTATTTACAAAGAAAATACAAACGACAGAAACGGAAATCAGGCGGAATGTGCGCCAGTGCTACGTCAACAGCGGAAATACATCATACCAGGCCGGGTCGATACGTACATTCTTCTACCGTAGAAAAAATGGAAAATGCAAACAGCGGAACGAAGTTCAAGGCGTTGAGTAAGAATAAAGAACAGAGATCACCAAGTGGACAAGTCTGATCGGTGGGTCATCGGAGAACTGGAAACAAGTTAGAGACACCCTCCAAGATGCCCGTTTCATCGCTGAACACTCGCTCCGACAGGTTTTGGAAAATAAGCTGAAGTAAGTGACTGTTGATGTATTGTATCATCCTGACCAGATGTCCCCGATGAACCTTGCCGAGCCGTTTGGTAGAATTTGCTTGACGTTCCTGTGATGGCCACGTCTAAACAAGGTTGACGTGTTCTGGTCAGCAGTGTTGATGGCACGTAAACGGGCAACGGAATTTTGTGCTGGCTTAAAGTTACAGGCACTGAAATTAAACGGGGACACGTAAGTTATGGTAAATGAACTAAAAACCCAAACCGAAATAGTAGTCGTAACCATACAGAACAAGTGGAAAACAGCTTCCCTCAAATAGCCTGGGTCAATGAAAGTCAACAGTAAATCGTAGACAGCAGAAAACATCCCCATGAAGAAAATGGTTTGCTATGCTAGGGGAGTGGATGAAAACTAGCCCCGGAGTTTGGCGCCTTGGTAGAGGGGAAACTCTACCATATGTAGACGCAAGTGCGACCTGAAAAGCAGTATTGATGATAACTGGGAAGTAAACATATTGTCAACCGGTGAGGAAGTAAATCGCTGTCATTCTGGTCGTTGAAACTTTGAAATCGACTGCCTCCATCCGGTTTTCCAGAACATGACACAGTAAATTATAATGGTTTCTCATACTAAAAGCTTTAAATCAGTGGTTCTCATACTTTTCGGGTCATCGTTCCAAAGGTACTCTACATATCCTAACAACGCATGCCCCATTCCACATGCACTATGTCAACAGTAGAACTGGAACAGTTGGGAAAAACAACTGGAAATATTAGTAGCTTAGGTACGTTAACTGGTTTATCAAATGTCTGTTCACTGAGCTTGACAATCTGCTCACATGCGTTTCGTCGAACATCGTGGACACATCAGTGCGCACATCATCATCATCAGCAGCAGCATCACTATCACCACCATCATCGACCGCGCACAGATCGTGATAAACGTCCACCGAGCTCAGCGAACAGATCAACAGCCATCCGATTTACAACCCAAACAGTTATTAAGGAATGTCATGAGCCGTTATGCACCAAGAATGATTTCCACTAAAGAGTATACACCGGAGTTCCCTGTCAAGCGCGCTGTAGGGTGCGATCTCTTCGGATCTCCACTATCCGGAAAGACCGAATAACCCTTTCCCCTATATACTGAAGAAGGATTTCGGTGGAAACAACTGATGCGATGAATCGGTTTGGTAAACTGATGCCCGGTCTAAACTCACTCTGAAAATTAATCCGGTTTATGTTACGGCATTTAGATACAAACACGCTGGTCACGCAAAAATGCACGTTTCTCATCTCAGTACAAACTTATGCAGCTTTTGCTGACTGACTCCATTCTAATGAAATAGAGCGAAACCGCTTTGATTTGTGGGCGAGAAATGGACAATAAATGAATTCTACTGGTTGTTACATTCTCCAATGCGGCAAACATCTGATGACGCAGAACTAGTAGTCCTTGGGTATCCAATTCCAAAATGGATCAAGGTAACTGGTTATCAATGTTTGCCGGTCACGAAGCAAAAAACTTCAACCTTGCCATCTGATGCGAGTGGCTTGCCAAGGAAAAATACCGGACAGAGATGCGTGACCTAACGTTCCGCCAAGAAGGAACTGGACCTTGACGTAGTGCAACGGTTTACGTTTCATTACGACCCGCTGAGTCATGTTGGAATATTCCACTAACATGCACAAAGCCCCCACATAACAGACTGGTCAACAAAAACAGGTCTAACGAACAGCTCTATGGCGGTGGTTGTGTGCTACTGTGGTAGTATACCGGCATCCAACAGCTGTCTTTCGGTCAAGCTTTCTCTGTTCCGGGGCCCTATTTGTCCTCCCCGGCAAGTCTTGGAGCCATAGCAGTATCCTAACCCAAGTACAACGATGGAATGCACAAGCGCTATAAGCCGGGTCGTCATAAGGCTGTATACAGCCGCGTGGTTAAAGGAAAACATGCTACTGTTGACGCCGGTATTCATACACTTCCATGCATTCCTCATCCCCTGACCCATCTCTTGACATTAATCTCTCTACAGATTCAGGTACTAGAGGTGACAGCCTTATTCGTCTTACATCACCTTCAACTTCTGCCAGTCCGTTTGCACCAACAGTTCCACACAATTCAAAGTCAATTTTCAGACAAAAAATCCGATCGGTTTGGTTATCTTCAATAGTTACAACCTGAAGCAAATAAAGCAAGCTGCTACTGCTTTCTCACTGGATTCCCCCACCCCCAAATCCACGTATAACATCGGTGGAGAAAAGGTACGTGCTGTGCTTATACTTGTCGAATCGTCATTCTTTTCCGCTTCATGCTATGCATTTTCGATGTCCGGAGTCCATCGACACAAACTAGAGTGGGCTAGAGAGGGACAACAAACTTGCCACTAGGATCGAATAGATGCCACATCCTGAAGGGTTTCTGAACACGCTCGGTAAAAATCATATGGGCCTATCGTAGGTTTTTTTCGTCTACAATTACGTGGCCCTTGGAACCGTCCACCGTAAGCTTTGGGGATTTTACCTATTTAGGATGCAACATCAGCTTTGACTAAAGCGTGTTTGATGAATTTCGTGCATGAATATTAAAGGCACGGATCAGGTCAACCAAAGGGCGCCTCTTTTGCTAGGCTACAATATGAACCGTACTGTACGGTCACATGTAGAAAAATCGTCTTCCGGGACTACTCCTGTCCTATATGCCCCATCTCAGCCCACTCCAGAATGGAGCAAACTGTGAAATTCACAATGTGTGTTGTCGTTATCGCTGTCCCCTTTTCAAGACCCTACCGCTATGCTTGGATACAAACGTCTAAAAATATGGCATTAGAAAAATCCCAGTCAGTTCTTTTCCAAACTACCTCACTGTGTGGTTGCAAGGTTAGACACCTTCAGATGACTGTGAGAAGCTGGAACCCTAGCACTTTCTTCAAGTAAACTTTTCTACTGAATGGCAATCGTATTGCATCAGTGCCCACAGCTGAGCTACTGACACTCCGACGAATTGCCGACAGTAGATTGCTTACCCAGTGAACTTGATGTGACAGGCCCAAATCGAACAGGAGCGGTTGGGTCTGTGGGACCAACAGAATGAGGAATGTAATCCGTATGCAGCGGGGTGGATTTTGTGATCGGCGCAGGTAGAAGCATCTGCTGTGTACCTGACTTCCGCGCCTGGAAATGAATAAAAAGGATAAAACACATAAGTGACGGGAAACAATGTAAAGGGTATTGAGTTCTGTCAGAATCACAAAGCTCGGTGCTGAATAACGAGTCGGCTGCTTGGTAGTTAAGTTGCCAAAGACAAATTTATGGTGCGGTCTACCGCGCATGAACAACAAGTGCACATAACTACTCCAACAAGTCTAGTACCTGATTAAAAATGCTGGCTGGCATTGCAGCGAACTGAAGCGTAGAATTCATTATTTTCTGAGCGGGGGTGACCGAACGTCCAAAGAAGACGTCCACCCAAATCGTTCATGTAAGCTTACCTAGTAAACTTCGTCATTAGAAAACAAAATGAGCAGCAAAATTAAATTAAATCGTTCAACTGCAGCACCGATTCGGCTACTAGCAACCATCGCACCAGAAGGAAACACGAAGGCTGAAATGTTGCCACCCAGGCCTAGCCTAGACAGGAAAGTCGAGAGGAATGTTGCCAAGTTCCCCAAGCCTAGACAGGAAAAGTCGAGAGGCGGAGGTGGGGTTCGAACCACGGACCTCGCGGTCAATAAATTCGTGCTCTAAGCACCGAGCAAGTTCGCCCCCCACTGGACAAAAACAGAGGAAGCGAAGAAAAGAGGGTGGTCCCAATTGAATGGATCAATGAATCGCATTTTTACCTCCACAAGAAAATGGAAACAGAACGATTGCTATGAATATTTTTCACCCGGTCGACGAATGTGAAAATCCGAAACGTTTTTCGTTGAGGTTCAAGGAGTTGCTACGGTTATCGTCTAGTACCCACGCAAGATCTGGTCATGTGAAAAAACGGGAGATTCTACTTACAACTCAGACAAGCGTTGATAAAAGTTATAGACGGGATGGAAAACGAATCAGTCATTCACCAACTCACCAAGATATTCGGTTCTGAATCCGCCGGTGGATTCATGCTGTATGTGCCAGTGCTGCTGACCGTTCGTAAACTGTAAATAGGGTTAGCGTTAGGTTTACTCGCACAATTTGTCGCTCCATCCGTAACAGTACTGGTGGCAGCCGCAGAAGAATGATCAGAACCATGGAAAATATTCTGCGAAGTTGTGGGTGGAGCAGGTGTTAGCCTAGCGATAATCGTGCTGCAAGGAACTGCCGAAGAACCTGAAGGATACCATGGCGGCGCGATTTGAAAGTTGGTAGTATTCGAATTCAAGTCCTTAGGTGGAGACAGAATTCGTGCAGCTCCAACTGCATTTAACGGTGTCGGAAAACCTACAGAGCGTAAACGGTGTTGAACATTGCCTATTTGGTTCTCAGATATCTGCCGGTTCAACCAACCAATAACTGGAAAGAAGATGCAAACAGTGAGTAAGAACAGTAGGTGTACCACCCATCAGCACTTTAATCATCACCACCATCATTGGCAGCAACATCAGATAAGGAAACGTATGCCCCACTAGCGTACAACCATGTCAATTTGTCTGGATAAAGCGTCACCATGGAAAAAGAAACAAACGGGGCAAGTGGACCTACGGCTAACCTATTACAAATATCCGACGTGTCTACGCCTCCAGCACTTAGTCAGCATGAACGCCACCGACACCGGTTAGCAGACAAATAGTTCGATGTCTCCAGTCAAGCACAGGAATGGTCACGTGAACCCCATCCTGGAAGGTTAACAGCACAAACAGCGCCCGAACTTTTCGTAGCACTGTTCATTCACTTTCGCCATGCCCACGTTTAGGCTTCCGCCACTCTGATATAGGTGCCGAAAACAGCGCTCGTTTCGGCAGGCGGTAACTCAACATGAGTAACACATGGCCCAGCCTTGTTAACTTGCAGTACTGGATGCATTCTTCAAGGGAAGTACCATCTGCTTCATCATAAACATGTCTCCAGATCACTGCGTTGCAAGTACCACGGTTTCAGTGGACTCGAGTTTAGTTGAGACATAGATGGTCAAAAAGGTGAAAAGTTCTCAGATCCTCCGCCTGAAGTGGCCATGTCTTACAGCCGTACAACAATATAGCTCGCATTGCAGTCTGAAACACGCATCTTTTAAGACCCAGTGAGAAGCCCTTTGAAGCCACAAGTGAGGCTAATCGGTAAACGCAATTCTGGCCTTTGAGATTCGTGCTTTTACTTCGTCTGTCATATACCGTCAGAGTTGACGGAACCTCTGAAAAATTTACATCTTTCCACATATTCCAGTGTCCCTCTTTGAATTGCAAGGGTTATGTTCGCAAAATGAAGCATGAAGCATGACCCGAAGCACATACCGAAGGACTGTATGACCTCGATCGGCTAGTCTAGTATCGCTTGCGCTTCCTACTCTTCAGAACTTAGAACAACGTCATCTGTGTATTTCTGGTTAACAAGCTGCTCTCTCGGAAATCTGAACACCGGGATTTTGGAAACCTTCCAGTGTCGACTTCATTACCTCGTCAATGACGAAATCAAACGAAAATGGAAAGAGTGGGTTCTCTTATCGGAGACCACTTTTTGTAGGAACACTTTTGAAGAGCTCCCTATAAGTTCTCGCCTCCACAAGTACGTGAATATAAACAGCGCGGTTTATCTACCATCCTAAATCCCGAGTCGAAGTCAAATAAGTCATTGCCCTGGCACCATGAACAACAAACATCGCACAAAAAGAACTCGTTGTAAATAAGTGACACCGAAAGGTTTGTCCACGGTATTCGGCCAGAACAGCTGCAAAATCCGGAGACCAAGGTCGGATGAGTCAAGCGTCTTTATGTCATTTCCTCGAGGCAGTGCACATGATGGCACATGACGACGCTCAGTTGCAAAAAACTGACGATTTGCTACTACGATTACAATTGGATTGAATTTCCATCGGATATTCCTCCCGAAGAAAACAGTCATCTGCTCCCGTACACAAGAGGAAACACGGTGATGAAAGTGCCGTTTGCCATTCACCCGGCTTTGCAACTAGCCAGTCAAAACACAGCCATTACCACTAAAATGCCTACCCAATAATACAGCATTTTTTACAAAATTTCATTTCGTTGATAGTTTAGGACGATACTAAATTGAAACGTGCTGGAGGTAGTTCCACAATTTTGGCAGTACGAGTAAGTTTACATGTACCACGCGTTCATTTAACTATATATAAGTCTAGCCACCTATGGTTCACACAAATGAGCTTATTTTAACGTGCCGCATCCATGAGCTTCATATCGGCCATGCAACGCATGTGTTTTGCGTAGAGCTGAAGAGCGCAAAGATATCAGTGTGGTCTATCTGGGTTCAGAGCTGGTGCGTTGGTGTGGGAACCACTGAAATTTGTGCTTTTCAAGAAATTCGCAATGCAAACGAACGGCCTGCGATAAGCACATATCTGCAGTGGACGCGGCGCGTTATCCCCTTGCGTCCAATTTAAAATGAAGACCCAACTGGTTATCGCTAATCCTGTCTACCTGTGTTCATGTCACCATCAGCCACAATAGTGTCTGAGATTTTGGCCCCTGGTAAAAAATACGACAAAGTGTGGCTTACTCACCAGTCTGTTTTCTCCTCACGGACCCACCTGATACTCAAGCACGTTCATCGTTTCATTCATCAATCACTATGAATGAATCCGATTATAAGTACAAAACTAAGCACTACATTATCGAAGATGTCTGTTTGGAAGGTTGTTTAATCTGTCTAGACTGTAATCTGTATCTGAATGAGCTAAGCAGCGTCTCCCCTACCGCAGTTTCAGCAGTGATGGTATGGGGAGTGTACTAAATGTCCCCAAGTATAAATTGTTCCTTTATTACGAAAGGACAAAGATCGAAATCAATAAGATAGTCAGGGTACGAATCACGAACACGAGAGCCATCTAAGAGAATGAGACAAGGCGGAACCGTAGCAACCGAGTATCAACAAAACGCGCATGAGTTACGAGACCTATGAAAAACAAGACAATCATGTGTATTGTTCAAGCAGCGTGAACAAATGTCGTGAAAAGCCCTTTGTGTGTGCGTACTTGGCCTAAGCACAGAAATGCGGGTCTGAAAAATCCGGGTATTATGAAAAGCGGTGTTCTGACAAACAATTGCATGAAGTATTTTTGATGGGTGGGAATTACCGGACACTAGGCTAAGCCATTGTAATTAGTTTGGCTAATGAGGGAACCTACTATTCTCATTCGTCTTGATCGTTTGCTGCGCGTCCACCAGTTCGGCAGACGTCGATTTGACCTGCTCGGCAAGTTGGGAAACTGATTCCTTGGATTCCTTCAGTTCACGTTTTAATCGTTCCACTTCGTTATGCAGTTCTTGCATTTCGGTATCTTTCGCAGATAGTAAACGCTCTTGTTCGGCAGCAACTTGACCTCGCAGCTTGGCCTTAGTGGATGAAAAACGTTTTGATAAGAAAATCTAGTCATTGATCACTAGTGGACAGGTTGAAGCGCTATGATTAGATCGCGATGAAAATCAAACATCTAGAGACGGTACGTCCTCCAATTGCCATCGACTCCTACTCCAAGCAACTGAACATGAAAGTCTGGTCTAAAATTAGGCTAAGGGAAGAAGTTAATGGTGTTAGCGGCTAAGGTGGATCCATAGCGTCTCCGTAACCCATATAGAAGGGCTATAGTTTAGGCAATGGATCCAAGTATTTGTAGCTCGAGTGGGTTAACTGGCTGTTGACCAGGTGATAGTCTGTTCGCCGAACTTGAAAATCGGCTTGCAAAAGTTTCGTCGCTATGCCAGGAGACATCACCAGTGCACTGCTAGGGGGTGCCCTGTTTAAAGTACCAGACGATTTTTCCGTGTACGCAGAGCTGCGTTGAGATCTCTCCGTCTCTCACTCAACCGTTTAGAATGACGATGGTATTTACATGGGTGACAGACCGACTTTGGAACGACGCAAAGGAACATGTACCAAAATGGAAGTTCCAATTATTGGTAGGATAGCTTAGATATCGAAACGAAATGCAGAATCAGCTATCGAGAAACAACTCGATATATATTATATTAAAAGTCATAGAGTGAAAAGAGAAAAAAGATAGGTGAGGGGAGAGAGCCAGTGCAGGCCTATGTGAAGCATCCTGAGGTGCCTACACCTCTAACCGTTTAATCAGACAATCTGGAAAGAAACTGATAGCACGAATACCACTGACATCGATTAGCCGCCACTGTTTGCAACGTCTTCAGCCAAGCACAGGTGGGGGCACGGGGACCCCATCCTGGAAGACGTACCCATGAACCAAACTGGTATGAGAGACTCTGTGAGCATCGTGCGGACACTCCCCAGTATAGCTCAATGGGTCGCCGAGGTACACAAACCGCCACACCACGGTGAAGTCCAGTCTCTTCATGACGGAACGAAAAGATACACCTGTGGACTGACTCAAATCGATGACTACTCGTTTACCGGACGGATGTTCCACCGACCAAGCTACCGAGAACCCCAACTCCTTGCGCGACATTGACAGCGTAAAGACAGACAAACAGCGTTGGTAGATAATGACGTGAGAAGTCCAAGTGCAAGTTGCACGAGCAAAAGGACTAATCAGTAGGTCGGGTGTGAAATTAAGGCTCATTAGCGAACCGGAGAGCGAGCGTTCCCAATAGTTCAGTCGTAGGGCACTCGCGGGTGAGCATGAAGCCGGTAGTTCGAGTCCATCCTCAGGTAGTTCTTTTCGTTCATGTTACGTATACCTGTGAGTTTAATCTCCACTGCATTCCTACTGCTACTTTCTAACAAAAAATTCCAATTCGTACAACAAAATCGTCCCTAAAATTTTTGGATGCCTCTAGTGTTTGCATGTGCTTCATTCTGGAGCGCGCACATGGTACAGCCGCACTTGGGACATCGCATCAACAGCAACTATTTGCAAAAATCAGTCGAAGCCAATCGTACAGTTACCATGTTAATGATCGCATGGCCTTTAGGATCAACCAAAAAGCGCTCGATCAGCGGTCTTTCTACTCATTGATGTATGCAAGTGCTAAGCCCGAGGGTTTGCGTAAGTTTTTATCGGTGGATAAAGGGTGGATATAGGATTAAATGCTTCATGGAATTCAAAACTGTTGGGTGGAGCAAATTCCGGAAGACCAGAAGCACTGAAAACGAACACCAAGGGAGGCTTCAGCAAGAATGGTAGTTTAGGCTCGAATGTAGCTTCTGACATTCTACTAATTTATTAACTGAAACGCCAATGAAAGTGCAGCTAAACCTCTCATAGCATTCAATTTATAGGAAAACTCAGGAGCCGACCCTTACGAACCACAGTGAAACTAACCTTCGTATGCTGACTCTTGACTTCCGCTTGTAGACGCTTTATGATCTCGTTCGCTTTGCTAACTTCATCAGTCTCCTTATTTAGCGAGGTTTGCAATTTCTCCACTTGTCTACAGTTCTGTTGCAATTCATCTTGTAACCGGGACTAAAAAGACAAAATGTAGTAAACAGTGGAGTTACGAATACAATGATGTCATGTTGGTACGGAACCGCGGAGTGTAGTCGTTAAAGACGCTTCCATCTACACAGATAAAAGTCGATGTAGTATCTCCCTGAGTTTGGTATATAGTTATCGTGATGAGTCGAGAGGGCTCAGCGGTCAAGGCACGAAACTACTGACAGAAAAGTTCGTGGCTCGAACCCAACCCAGGCTTTTCGGTTGTTCTTGTTTATGTTTAGGAAACCTAGCAGTATCTTAGTCTTCGTGAATCCTTGAAGACGTCGGGTCGAATACTGCGAAGCACGCGGTGTAGGTTAGATCCCAGTCGGAGTTGCTTCAAATGAATAAAATTTAGGCAGTAGATTGTGGCCCCACAATAGAACCAAGTCACATGGAACACCCGATAACCTTAACATCTCCGAAGTTAAGGCACAACCAGAACCATCTATACTAGATTACACCTCACCGAGAGCAGCTCCCCCGGTCAACACAAGTGAAATTAAAGCAGGGGTCTCAAGTGGGTGTCCGGAGATGAACATGACGTCAATTAGACGAACGGGTCGCAGGCCCGTCGCGGACCGAACGAAGGCTTGTCCTGATTGATCAGAATGGGAACCAATCGAGACAGGCATTTTCGCTACGCAGTTCTCCTTCCTCCATGAAAATTCTACCTCGACCTGGTGGAGAATTCCATGATAACCCTATAGATACAAATTGTGACGACATTCATTTGTCTCCAGGAAAGGAAGCTGAAGTGTCTTCTGATACACCATAGTGGGAAAAACAGCGCCCAAGAACCGACATAGCAGCTGCAATACCGTTTGCAGTAGATAACACTAGGGACTAGACGGGAGACCAAACAGCAAGATCCCTCTGGGTTAGCAAACCAAATCAATGGTGTCTGTGGCCGATGCTTAAATCTTACGAGCGATGGATGGGGGATTTGGCATCATTTCGGTCGGATTTGGATGTTCGACCTTAGGGTTCAGTGCATTTCAACCGATAATTCTCCCCATTGGCCTATGTGAGCCCGCGAGTATTACGACAGCTTGGCTAGAAGGTAAGATTAAGAGGAATTCGATCAGCTCAAACTATGCACTTCAAATCTAAGTGATGAGTCCTCTTCTCTGATAACTGCACACCGCCGAGTGTCAGCTCGGCTGATCTAAAACCGCTCTTTATAGGCTAACCAGTTCCATTCCTCCTGTTCTGTTCAAGCCAGGATGTTTGACAATTTACACTGCCTGGGTCATCAACCGTTGCGGCGTGAGGCGAAGTCCGCGCCCAGTACATTTTCCGCTACTGCCAGGTCCCTGACTAGCGCCCGATGTTCACCTATGTTGCTGGTGATCTGTTTATTTTTTACCAGTGATAATCGACTCTGAATTGAAGCTATCTAGGCGTCCGTCCTGTGTGCAGTCGTTGTATCTGAGCTTGTAAACAGAGTCCCCAATCATCCACCACCATTCTTATGATAGCCATCATTACGGTCTTTCGAATTACTTCAGATTTCCCGGTTTATATGAAATACTAGCAATTCCAATCCATTTCTTATTGGGTCTCGCCATCCATACAAATATTTTTCCCACCTGGCGCTTAATCAAAACAACTGGATATCCACTGCCTCGAGGTCTGTTCAGTACTTCAATTCGGGCTGCGGCTCAATCAGCTTCTGTGTACATAGCCCTAACTAAGCTAAATACACACGAACGAAAATGGTAGACATCGCCTCAGGGTGCGAACACGGGCAGTCCATGGTTCAAATCTAAACACTGCATCTCATCTGCTCCTGTCTAAGCTTGAGCGACCTGACAGTATCTCAGTCTTCGTGCTTCCTTCGGGTGGCATGGCAGCTAGGCACCGAAATGGAGGTGCAGTTGAACGATTATTATTATTATTATTATTATTATTATTATTATTATTATTATTATTGTTATTATTATCTGTTTATGTCCTGTTTAATCACGCAAAAGTGCCATTTGCATAACGGCAAAATATNTAGCCATCATTACGGTCTTTCGAATTACTTCAGATTTCCCGGTTTATATGAAATACTAGCAATTCCAATCCATTTCTTATTGGGTCTCGCCATCCATACAAATATTTTTCCCACCTGGCGCTTAATCAAAACAACTGGATATCCACTGCCTCGAGGTCTGTTCAGTACTTCAATTCGGGCTGCGGCTCAATCAGCTTCTGTGTACATAGCCCTAACTAAGCTAAATACACACGAACGAAAATGGTAGACATCGCCTCAGGGTGCGAACACGGGCAGTCCATGGTTCAAATCTAAACACTGCATCTCATCTGCTCCTGTCTAAGCTTGAGCGACCTGACAGTATCTCAGTCTTCGTGCTTCCTTCGGGTGGCATGGCAGCTAGGCACCGAAATGGAGGTGCAGTTGAACGATTATTATTATTATTATTATTATTATTATTATTATTATTGTTATTATTATCTGTTTATGTCCTGTTTAATCACGCAAAAGTGCCATTTGCATAACGGCAAAATATTCCTGACGGATAAAGGATACCAACCATCATTTCAAGTTCAAAATAAGTTGAATAATTAAGTAAGTTGAATCTCATATCAGATCTAACATGATTCGATCTGGCAAGCCCAGACTGACCTTATAAGTATTTGAAATAACTCGAAATAACATGAGATCGATACTCCAATATTACCTGCATCTGAATTTGATGAAGTCATCCATCACAGTGTGAACATTAAGAGATCAAATGCGGTAGCACTCGAGTACTCACCTTGTGCTCCTGTTCCGAATTCAATAACGCCTGTGTTTTGGATAACAACTGATCTTTCGCGGTCACCTCTTGTTCAAGGACACTCAGTCGATTCTCTAACCGACTGATATCCGATGTTTTGCTTTGTGTTGTTTGTTCAGCGGACGACAGTTTTGAACGAAGCGCTGTTGAAGTGGGGATATGAAATACAATCTACTAGCACTAACAGAATAAGTTGACAGTCGGAAAACAAGGTTCAGACAGTATTCCAAGCGCTATTCAGTATCGAGATGGAACAAGCATAGACTGCATGGAGAATCCTTAGGTGTCAGATATCAAAAGGGTCCTTGGTGAAGGTTGTATGATATTGCTCGACAGGTAAGTATTCATGGACAGTGAGCTGGTGAACTCAAAGCTATCAACTGTAGGCTCCGAAAGACCCCAAGTGCCCTGTTATAACACCAGAACGATATAAATGTGGCCTACAAAGTAAAGTACTTTCTGTCGAGGAGAAATTCCACTGAAAGATGACTTGATGAAGTGTCGTATAGTAGTAATGTCGGTGGAAAACAGAAAGCAATTTGTTGCAAAGCGGTCGATCCTGAATTAGTATAGTGGACTAATCACAATGACAGGTGCATACGGTATGGGAATAGAAAAATCGGAAGTATCTTGAACTTGAAGCGGAAAGACAGCACGATCCTTAAAAGAGGACCTCCAGATGGACCTCAAAAGGACATGGAATCACCAAGCGCAAAAATTGAGAGACGCGGTATTCTGTAAGAGAAAAACCTACAAGACAAAAGCCGTCCCTCTGAAATTAAAAAGTACTTCCCACGCACACGGAAAAAGGTTGAGATAGGTCGTTCTTCTCACTTGATAAGCCTGACTTTGGCAAGCCAACTAAAGAAGGCCACTAAATCAAGTCAACATCGTAGTTTACGTTTTACTGAATCGTTGCAAGCCGGCCTAGTTGTTATAGTAACTATCCACTACACCATTCACAAATGTGCCTATCTCTTCAGGATCACTTAGCCTTTAAATGGTTAATGGAAAGCGTAGAGAACGCATACTTGTCAGTTAAAACATGCGCATTACAGGGTTATTGACTTGACCTGTGACCTTTGTCTCGGGCACATCCTCGCGTTCACTTGCGATTTTGATGGCCAATCAGACCCAAGGAGGTTTTGCCTAATCAGTGAAAGCAGCATCGACAACATGGAAATGACCATGTCAGAACTGGAAATTTGAGCGTCAGTGAAACGCAGTAGCATAAGACCAGCAGCACTGATAAGATTTGTCTCCTCTCAGAACAGGTGCTTGTTTTCGTAGATTTTTTCATGGTATGACCCTTCCACTTTGTGCGTGGCTTACAAAGCTATGACCTGTGTTGGAAGATTAAGAATGTAAGAAATCAGGCCGGACACCAATTACCAAATTCGAAACTGACTTTCCAGGAAGGTCGATCATGACCGCATCAACTTTAAACCATGGTACACTGACCAGTACTGCAGTAGTTCCTTACCTAAGTATGTTAGAAGTGAAGCTGGTCACGAGTAAAAGACGACAGCTCTAACGGACTCGGTAGACTGCTAATGATAGTTCAAATATCCAGTACTTGTTAGCTGTGAACAGCCACACAGCAAAGGCGATTGCTCTGACGCATGAGCGGCATTGATAATGGGACCGGTTGGTCTTTCAATAATTCTACGCCATGATTTACCCAACACTAAGATATTTATATGTCGGGATCACTGTTACCAACGTGACTCAGTTCACTGGACAGGGTTTGCATACTTCGATGCCGACTCATCGACCTCTGGAGTTTTCAGTCAGTAAACTGCAGTAGGGATAATGCGCAATTAATGTAGATTCTGTGGAAAGTTATATATCAAAGGAACCAACTCACTGAGCATTTGCGCACAATTTGTAGGACACGCATCTTGCGTGTATGAGTAGCAAACTGCCTAAAAACGGACTGAGGCATAGGCCTTCTGGGAGTGACAAATGTGACTGAGCACGGTGGGGCAACAGCGAACGGACAAACCAATGTAATACGGGGCCTACAAAAACCCGCACAACCTTCAACTAAGCCAACCAGCCACCCCTAAGGTTAATGTTGCCTACGTAGATGAGAATGAAAAAAACGTGGTCGCCTTATGGTATGTTCTTTTTTGGGAGAGCTTTGGGCAGATAAAAAATTGCGGATTATTAACGATCGTGAATGACTGAAAGTCGAAAACTAATTATACATATCGTATTCTTATTCAGCAGAACAGAAGAGCTTTTGGATGGTAGCTTTAGGGGAGAGACACCTGAAAATACCACTATCCATACACTTTCTGTCCTCTTCACCCTCTCGAATACTTTACTCCCTCTTTGTAAGAAACTTCCACTGACGAAACACCCCCAAAGAAGAAAGTTTTGGTGACTCTCAACTTTTACACAATGAACCTGAGAAATGCTGCAAAAGTAACTATTGAGATTCTTTTCCAAATGATCTGGTGGAATCTTATGGAAAATACTAAGGAAACATGCTACCTTCGCAAACTAAAACAGAGGTTCCAATGTGACCATGAACTTAGCCCACTAAAGAAAAACTGGTCGAGATCAGTCTGCGTAAAAACGCGATTGGCCTTTTTCGTTCAACCTGTGCTACGACAACATGTTGATGGTAGTGATAGCCTCTCCATGGTACCTTTCGTCCCTAACCGAGACTAAGGTTCCATCGTAGCCAAAGAGAATGGTCATGACAGCCTAAGGAAGATGAACAGTTGGACGAGTCTCTCAAGCACTTGTAGCGTTCATTTCTAACTGGATTCAGATGACTAAATCAAACCTGGAAATGTGCGTCCGAGGGAACAATCAGGTCCTTTTTGGACGTTGTGGAGTTCAAAGATTTCAGTGTCCATGAGTATGAAAATATCGAGGAAGATACGGTATATACTAGAGTTCTCATCACTTGGAATGAAAGCGACGTAGATCTGTGAAATCTACTGATGATAGCACAAACTTTACTGAAGGGTTAGAAAAGAATACAAATTGAACATTTGGAAAAACCGGGAACTGTGTGGTTCGTACCCGAGATTTTGTGGCCAAGGGTAGATGAGTCACCTGTCCTCAGCTTTTATTCAACCGGTTACAGTATGTAAAAGCGTAAACAACCTTACAGGACGCCCTACTTACAAACGTTCGCCTAGTGCCCGCTGCTTGATAAAATTTGGTGTATAAATCTAAATTAGTTGGAGAGTAGCATTGTGACCAGAAATAAAGAATTTCGATAAAAGTTTTTTCCCACGCCCATCCTAGCTCTCACAAAACTCTATTCATATGCTGTCTGGAATTGGAACTGAAGAGCGATCCATAATCGTTCACTGGCCTTGCGCATACGGTGCGTAGGGTATGGAAGTGGGATAGACGTTTCTTTGCAATCTCCCGTTCCTTCAGGTCAGTCTTTGTCTTTCATGGTTTGGGGGGAAGTTCTGTGTTTCCCCCGTCACTGTGGGACACGCTGCCGCTGATGGCCCGTATCTCAAGGAGGCCATGGAAGAAGAGCTACGGTAAGTTGCATTGCAGCCGTGCGAAATTATTTTACAAACGCCTGGATTATAACATTACTAGCCATCCCATTGAACGGAAGATAATAAATACAATCTGTCAAAAGAGTGTAGTGAAAAAGTTTCGCGCTCACAGGTAATTTCTGAATTCTGTAACGCAAGCTGGTCCTCCAAAGCGGTGATTTGGTTCGAGAATCGTTTGACCTTTGCGTGAAGCTGTTCCTGCTCAATCTTGAGTTCCTGTTGTTAAGGCAAAAAGAGATGTGTTCAAAAGATGCTTTCCGGTAATATCGGTCCGAGTGAACACGAATATTAGTAGACCAAGCGTGACTGATCGGAGTTTATAGGAAAGCCATTTTTATGTGGGAAAGCAGTTGATAAGACATGGTACCCGATGACTTGAATTGACGGTTATCAAGTTACCAAGGTAACTGACAAGCTTGAAGGTTGTAGACGCAATACTTTGACAGTGCGGAAAAAGGTCAGCAACCCCGTTTCCAGAAATACCTGGACAGTCTTTCGAAAACATCCTCGTGACCTAAGTAAGCGTCAACGTATTAGCGCCCTGAATGAAACCCCGGGTTTGAACATGGGAACCGAAGACGTAAAGGAAACGACCAAGAATGCGACAGACAAACAAAGTTAAAACCTTCCTGTTCCACGCACTATGAAATGCAAACGCAAAGGGACACCACGACCAGAGAACTCCCTTCCATTTAACGAAGTTTAATCTCGACGCATCGTGACACAATTCGCTCCAGGATTGTGGACTGAAGACTTCCCTGCGACTAGTGGTGGTTTTATTAGAAATGTTGATATCTTTTTATTTGTCTGCACTAGCAGTTTAAGAGGGGAACAATGAGCTTCAAATTGGTACATGAAAACACTCACAAAATGGAGAGTTACAAAGATTGCAAAGCAGACGAATGAACAAACAGCAACAGCACACAATTATTAGATGTCACGGGAGTTTTCACAGACAGGATTTTACTCCAGTATTGAAAACCAGTGGATGTAAACAAACCGGAAAAGGAAGATCGTCATTTCCGTGTAAAACGGAGGACACAGTGCGGTCCCGACACTGCGGAAACCCATCCAAACAGACGTTACCATCATCAACGACGGCGTTACATCAGTGTTCAACACCGATGCTTCACTGCATCACCATTACTTATTTAAAAGCCTTACTGTGAATAAAAGAATAAAGGTGAAGAGGGAAGGTAGTTAGGGCTAGCCTACCACAATCATTCCGAAGTGCCTACACCTCCAGACATTCGCTCAGGCAGTCTAGGTAGGAGCTGATAACATGAACGCCACTGACATCAATTAGCAGCCATATCTTGCAGTGTCTCCGACCAGGCGCAGTGGGGACCACGCGGTCCCCATCCTGGAAGGCGAGTAGCACCGACAGCACGCAAACGTTTCGTAAACTCCCTTATACCCCTCTATCAGGTCAAGGGTTAGCCACCCCTATTCTTGCCTCCATCTGAACTGGACACGGAAAAAGCACTCCCTTCGGCAAACGACGATTCGGTATACACGACACACGGCCTAACCAGTGCTGCTTTTGGAGCTGGACATATTCTTCAACAGCAGTGCCCGTTGCATAACAGTCTCTTTCTAACTGCCTCGTGACGGCTTCGCCGACACCAACGCACACAAGCAATCTTTCACAACGACTGTTGAACGCCTGAGGACATCTCAGTTCCGCTGTTCGAAGTCCCACAGCCATACAATAAAACAGGCCGCACTGTAAGTTCATACAGGGATACAAGACTCTGACGCTACACAACTTCCAATGCCTCTCCCTAGACTGGTGGTGTGTCCACCATGTGGCCAGACGACTTCGGCCATTTCGGAAGTCAGTGCTGCAAAAAACAGTCTTTGGCCAGCCCAGAGCAGAAGTAATCGTTCACGACTCTCCGTACGCACCGATTCCAATCCATCTCGACCTCCTAAGTGAGTTTCAGATGCGCTGAGCCATCATACTTGTGCACTCACATCTCCGGTACCCACAACGACATCTTAGCTTTTAGATCGTCGAAACAGGGTATTCATGGCTTCTTTGATGGTTTCAGAGCTGTAGTCTGTTGTGGCGTAGGCAGACATGAAAAACAGACATCGATTAACGTCCCGCTTGTAAGACCAACCTGATATGAGAGACTCTGCGGGTGTCACACAGACAACCCTAACATAGCTCAGTGGGTTGCACAGGTACACAAACCGTCACACCACGGTAATGTCCAGTCTCTCTCCAATGCTTCAATGGAGTTAGGAGTGCCCTGCTACGGGCAAAACTGCTGTCATTGTGCAGGGATGTGAACATGTCGTTTCAGTATGAACCAACAGTTGGAATGGAGGCCAGAAGACGGTTCTGATACATTCGTCTAACTCCGGGGTCCGCCATCATCTGTTTCTAAGCCAGTATCCATCCCTTACTCAATTCTACAAAACGGGAAAGCGATTCTGGACAAGTACACGGGTGTTTCACAACAATCGGTGATGGAGATGTGATCCGCAACTGACAGGCTGTTGAAGGACACCATATGGTTAGACCAAATTTAGCACTCCTCAGACAAATGTTCGAAATCGGCACGCAGCACGCAGTTCAACGTTGTCAGTACGTGCGGTTCAAAAGCCGACCGCCCAGCTATGCTTTAGATGTGCTATCCTACCAACTTGTGCATTTGAATCATCGGCAAACATGATACCTCGGTTTTTCGACCGTCGTCACAAAGACATTGGATATAACAGTACTGAGGCGGTTTGTGTGTCTTACCGACAAATTAGGTTATATTGCGCAGCGCCCGGCGACATTCAGTCCGTCAAACTTGATTGGTGAATGGGTGAAGGTCTGATTGGTATTCTCATCCTCCAGGTTTCGAACGTGTACGGTGACTTGTTCTTCAAAAATAGGTAATACAATGGCACTTCCTGCCAAACACCGCTGCTTTGTGCTAGGGCTCTTGAGACAAAGGCTTTGGTTGAGGACCCTAATCGTCCTCCTGCTTAGGTCTGGCTGCCTTGACAGTATCCCAGCCCACGTACAACCATGATTCCAACAACTAAAAAACGATCAGGTTCTTTTCTATTCGTGCGCAACATAGTCGTCTGTTGCTGATACTTTTCTTATAACAATGACAGCCCCGGATCGTGATGAGATTCGGTGTTTACTGGAGGATGCAAGTAAGCTCTAAAAGAGGGTTTCGAAAGCCATCTGTAGGGTTTCTTTCGCCCCCTTTCTAATTTCCATCCAAATCATCAATAATACCACCGAGTCCATCTACTTCTGATGGCTTTACGGTCAACTCCAACCGATACTGTTGGGTTACGCAGACGCCTTGCAAGTAATGAACTGAAGGACCTTACATCTACCAAGGTATTTCCCAGAAGAATTATATGCCTTCATGTATCATGCATGAAGTCATCCAACTGCACCTTACTGCTAAATGCCAAATGAGCCCATGGTTGGTCTTCAGCCGGCGGCGTCGGTATGAACGCCAGTGTGGAAAGTTGGCGCCGGCTAGAAACAAATGAAGCCCGGCACATAGGTTAAGAAGTGGCTCCCCATCATCTTGCAGCAAGTGATGTTATCGCATCGACCGCTAAGATGGCCCACTTCCAGACTCGGATGGGCATTTATATCACACCCTGGAGTCACATGCTGATAGAAGCAGTCGTAACAAATCCTGATGGAAGATATCTTTCTCATTCCCATCCTGTCTGGGCTTGGGAAAACTGGCAGCTTCCTTCGGGTGGCATGGCAGCTAAGCACCGAAAGGATGTTGCAGCTGAATTATTATTATTTTCTATCATCCCCAATGTTGCCGTCTTCCGGAGCGTACATAGATCTGTTTCCTTACTCTACGACGAATTTCATCCAGGAAAGGATGTCAGCAAGAATATCCCGGATCGCTGCAGCTCATGTAACAATATTGGTTGCAAAGTGCAATCCCACCGTTACTTATTTTCTGTTCAACTGTTTGACCCGCAGACTAGGTACTTCAAAGTCTATCTCAACTACAAAAACACCCAGATTTTAAATTAATTTCCCTGTGCGACAGCGCCATTCTGAGCAAGCAGTGGCGACAGAGGAACTTTTAACAGTTCGGAATCTAGTTTTCAAACATGTTCCAACCACAGTAACCTGCGTCACTGGATCAATATGGAGAAACGCAAAACGTTACAACCATCCCCAGCATTATATACCCTGCAGTTCTAACGCACTTGAAGCATCTTCATTAAGAATCAGCGGTCAAAAAGGTAAAAAGGTAAAAGAAGGTAAAACGTTTGGACAAAGCAGATCTTACAAGCGTGTGGTGGTGAGAATCGGACTCCCGAACGGACTGGAGTTCAGACCGAAGACTGATTCCCAAACATTGCCACAGAGCGGTGTGGACTTCCATGAGAGTCTTCCGGGCGTCGTCATTGTGGAGGCCTACTTCTTGCCGTGCTTGACCACTTGGGAGAACGATGGAGTCCAAACGCCCGAAGCAATCAACTTAGTTTATGGGCTCCTGGTTATGATTAAAATGCTAGACTGGAATACCATGCTTTTGGTGAAGAACTTCGCCGGAAATGAATTCTAACCTATGGTTTTCACTAGATCGTTGGAGTACTGAATCCCGCTCAACGCAAGATAGTAGCTTCACGACCGAAGACTGCACTAAACAGTGTAGCGGCCAATTAATCTACAGTCCTGTTTGTATAGCACGGACATCACAAATTCCAGTAGAACGTTCTCGGCAGTTCAAGAACCCTCAGGAAGAACGGAAGAGAAATTACCGAGTTGCAGCCTAGGTGGGCTTATTAGTGGTAAGAGGATTGCTCAAACTAGAGAACTTTCAAAAGGTTCACACCAAAATTAGGACACCACCTAAAACCTACGATCAATCAGCAGAACTACAATGTAAGTAAAAACCAAGTAAAAATTGACGCAGGCCTCCTCACCAGATGGTGCTTCGAACAGCAGAAAGTGAGTCAGTGTAAGCAAAAGCATGTTATCTACCTGGTTCTCCTGCATTAGTCGTTCCACTTTTGAGCTCAGCTCCTGTCTGACATGTTCACATGCCTTTTCTGATAACCGCTGTTCGTTCTCTATTGCATTTTTGTGCGTCGCTTCCGCCTGAAAGTAACACATGCAATGTAGTTGTGATGTACCTGACACATTTTTTCTTCTAGCACTCGAATCCGATCTTCGTAACTACGCACCATGTTGTCCTCTCTTAGTTTACTACTTGCTTTATATTCCAGAAATTCACAGGACGAAGACGCAGAAGCCTTCAAGGTAAGGATAATAAAGCAAACCCACTTGTTCACACTCTGACAAACGCGCCGAAACATCGGCTAAAGTGCTAGTTAAATTGTTTATTTTCGACTGGCTTTCAGCCTTATGGAAAACGATTATCAGTCTGAAATGGAATCACTTTTAGAGCTTTCAGCTGTGTCACAAGATAAGATTTCAGAGCGTCGTCGTCTCCAGCACGTAAGGTAAGACTGAGATGGATCAAATATTTGAAATTGGTAGCCTCGACGATCTGAAGAACGCCTTCGTTTTCGTTGTTTGAAGATGAGAACCTTAGTGTATACCTAGACCTTATTTTTCAAGCGCACAAGGGAATTACCTCGGATTGGAAGAGCTTTCTTCCCGAAGACATAAATCCAAGAGGTCAATAACTTTTTGCCCGAAGGCGGTGAAATCAACCAATAGACCCTGTTGTGTTTTAAGGCTACGACATTTGCCTAGACAACCAAGCTTACCTTGCGAAATCATCAGATGAAATACGGTTGTGGAAAAGGAAATACAGATCATTTTCGTCTGAAAGCCGCACTAAAAGAGCCTTGGCGAAGAAAAAGGTTACAGAATGTGAATTTGGCGCACCTTCCCATCGACGAGTTGATCTGGTTCGAAAGCAACATTCACGTGGCGACTACTGGAAACCCGTTAAGAATTCACCTGTCAACTGATTACCTTCGACTGTTGTTGTGCTCAAACACTACCAGGTGGCGCTTGTAGTAGCCCATAGACATGTGTTAACATTTCGACATGAGCCCGTTAAAGGAATGTACACGGTGACAAAATATCACGAGCCTCTAGAGCCGGAAGGACGAACAAAAGTACCAGGCAGGGAGGACAACAGACGCCCGTGGCGAGCCAGTGACCCAAACGCCTAAATGGGTGGGTCAAGGAAGCCATTGTTCTGATTGGTTTTGCGCGGGAGCGCCGGGACGCAGTACACAGGCACTGTTTACAAGCGGCTCAGTGGTCGCACAATGAAACGACTCACTTATAATGGAGAGTTTCATAGCTGAAATCGTTTTCTGAACATTCTAGAATCTACAGGGCCTTGTGGATGCAAAATATGAGGAGGTGCCAACCCTGTAAGTGATTTTGATCGATAATTGTTAATACGAGTAGGAAAATCGTGATAGGTTTTCACGGATTCACGGATTGATACACAGGATCGAGGCTTTTTCCCAAGTTTCCCGGGTCGGTTTTGTTCTTGTCGGTCAGTGGCTGTCGTTCACCTGAAAGGCACAAGTGAAAAAAGGGTGTAGCACTGCTCTTTATGTTCTCAGCGCGGGGCAGAATGCTCGCTAGCGCGAGGATTCGCATAAATAAATGTCTAATAGTGCTTTAAATTGGGTTCGAGAAGGAGCGTGTACAACCGTCGGAGGAAGGTCATTCCACGCAGCTACTACCCGAAATGAAAAAAAGTTTTGTCTAATGAATGTGTGTGCCCTGAGCTTGAAGATTTTCTTACTATGTCCCCACCGGGTGTTTGCTGGGTCAACGGTAAAAAACCTGTTTGAAAAGCTTTGTTCAAACAGCTTGTTGTTGAACAACGTAGTGGTCCATTATAACTTGCGAATTATGCTAGGCAGACCATGATGACAACCATAACGGACAGCTTAACGAACGTATAATACTAAAATGCCACCGGAGGACCACTGTGGCGATTTGTACCTTTATTTTACTTCCATTGTAACACCACGTATTTCATCAATTGCATAATCGTTTTTTGTTTGAATACGAAAAACTCCAAAAACGCGCTCTTGCACAATTTCACAGAATACAAGCGTGGTCACGTGCTTCGACTCTCTCTTCTGATTTCGCTCGCGCTTGCAGAGGCCATTCGCGTGTCTCATGTACTAACTTTGGTACCAAAACATTTCAGACATCTTCGGAATCTATTATATGTGGGAACTGTTCAGAAGAAGACCTCTGGACCAACATAATTGGATTATTGTTTATTCGCTGCTCTGGGCCAACGACGAGCTATTTTAAAGAGAAAAATTATTAGTGAGTCTGTTCCGTCTGATCTCTTTATTTTTCCTATGTTGTCCAGCATCTTCCTTGTGATGTAGCAACAGAAGTTGAAGATCTGTTGGAAGATATTCCTCAGGAAAATCCGTATGACGCCCTTCGAGCGGCCGTCGTAAGTAGGAAAGGGAAATCAGAAGACAAGATGCTACGGGATCTATTCACCACTGTCGAACTTGGGGACAGATCGCCATCACAAATGCTTCGCCACATGCGCAGTCTCCTCTGTGGTCTTAAGCTAGCGGTGGAAATAATGGCCCAACTATTGCTTGACAATCTCCCACCCTCCATGTCCCACGTCATCAACGCTTTCGTTGATGACCACAGATTAGAGCAGCTGGCCCAAATGGCAGATAAGATACACGAAACATACCCCAGTTGCCCCGCAAACTCCGTCTCCCGCCCTGCACCCACCACAGATTCCGACCCGCTCCTTGCATCTATATCGCACCTACAAGCCAAGTTTGACGCTTTGACCGATCGCTTGCAACGGTTAGAGATCAACAGGCATCGACCACGTTCACGATCCAGATTGTTATCTCGTGCCCGTCCCTCTTGGTGCTGGTATCACCAATCTTATGGCCCAAAAGCACGCAAGTGTCAACGACCTTGTTCCTTCAAGCCGCCTTCAAGCCCTTGAAACACCCCGACCAGTCAGTACCGGCGACGACTGTCTGTGGCCCTCCTCGCACGAGTCGCCTTTTCCACATCACCGATCGTTCAAGTGGTCTGCGATTCCTCGTAGATACGGGAGCTGAAGTTAGTGTGCTGCCACATAAGAATCCACTTCCCGATTCTGCTTCTTTCTCGTTACAAGCTGCTAACGGTATCCGCATCGCTACGTACGGCGAACGTTCTCTCACCCTTGACCTTGGATTGCGACGTGCGTTCAAGTGGACCTTCTTTTTTGTCGACGTCCAAACATCCATCCTCGGTGCATATTTCCTGACCCATTACAATCTATCTGTCGACGGGGGACACAAACGTCTCTTAGATACGCTTACTTCCCTCTCGGTCAAGGGAATTAGTGCCCCAACTTCATCCACAAGCATCCGAGTTATCTTACCGGATTCACATTTTGCTGACATACTTAGGGACTTTCCAACCCTTACTCACCCATGTCAGTACACCCAACCGGTCACTCATTCCGTCGTTCACCACATTCAGACGAGAGGTCCACCTGTCCATGCCAAACCCCGCCGACTTCATCCGGATTAGCTACAAATCGCAAAACACGAGTTCGAACACATGCTCGAGCTCGGCATCATCCGCCCTTCATCAAGTCATTGGTCATCACCCCTACATATGGTACCTAAGAAATCTAAAGGTGATCGGAGACCCTGTGGAGATTACCGTTCTCTCAACAACGCCACTATCCCAGACAGGTATCCCATCCCACATATCCACCATTTCGCAAGTACCATATGCCATACAAACACCTTCTCCAAACTCGGTCCCGTAAGAGCATACTACCACATTCCCGTGTAACGGTGATACTACTGATCCGGAGGCACGCGAGTAGCATGTGTTGTTCGTAGAATTTCACTTTGGGTCGATTGAAAAAGGGAATTCTGTTGCGGAATTCGTGGGACCACTGTGGAACATTTGCTTGGATTTGACCAAAGAATGGGTGGAGGCATCGAATCTCTAGGAAGACTCGTTCGGGAGAAGATCTGTGTCCAGTTTTTGGAACTAAGATGCAGATTAGTGTTTTGCTTCCCTGTTCAATGGTCTGTAACCGGTCAGTTGGCATTTCCGAATAAATAACTCCACAGCAAGGGCCTTCTTCCATTCATTTGGTGCCGTGACCAAGATAAGGATGAAGATCCCGTGGCCGCAACCATTTGAGGATGGGGATGTTCGGACCTTCCTGGAGGACTTTGAGGAGGTTGCGGAGGCTGCAGGGCTGGAGACCGACCGGGGTAAGTTGGCAGCGCTGAAGACCCTCCTCAGGGCCGGGCGAAGGCAGCCCTGGATGCGGCCAGAAGAGGCCCTCGGAAGATGGACTGGGCCGCCGCGAAGGAAGTCCTTGCAACGGAGTTCGACACGCCGGCCGACCACCAGGAGGCTATGAGGCGGTTCAAGACGGCCAGGATGGCACCCGGATCGGACCCGACCGTGTTCTTC